AGAGCAGTCTTAAAAAAAAAAAAAGCCTTTACACTAATTAATGGCAGCAAACTTACTAATAGTGTGAAAAGTTTTCTTCCTCTTACTGCGGAAGAGAGATGTTCCAGCATCCCACCAGCTTTTGTTTAGGGCCTTCTCTTCCATGAGAGAGAAGGGAACACCAGAAACGTCAGTGTAAGCCATGCACAGCTCTTCAACAAACTAGCTTGAAGGAAAAAAGAGAACAGATAAATGTGACCAGGATTTCAAAGGAGTTTATTTTGGGGACGTATTTTGATTTCAGATGTCAGCTTGATACATTAGAGGGGCTACTCAGTTGTTTGGTGGTTTTTTTTCTTTTTTTTCCTCAAGGAGAGAAAAAAATCTTCTAGGATGCCCAGTAAGCCCTGAATATCACAAGACTGAATTAAAGAAAACACCGACAGAACAGACTCAGCAGTGCACAAAAAAAAATATTTCAACAATTGAATCGACTTTCACTCTGACTTTTTCTTTGTCTCTCCTCTCTTGTCTTAAATAATTTCTCACTTTATTATACCAGGTGCCTTTTACCTTGTGTTTGAGTACATGGACCATGACCTAATGGGGCTGCTAGAATCTGGCTTGGTACATTTCTCAGAGGACCATATCAAGTCTTTCATGAAACAGTTAATGGAGGGTCTGGATTACTGTCACAAAAAGAATTTCCTTCATCGAGATATTAAGTGCTCCAACATCTTATTGAATAACAGGTAACTTGGGAGTAGATACACTTCTGCAGAAGCTCTTCCTTGGCCTCATCTGAGAGCACACAGTTGTTGTCTTCACCTTGACCATGCTTAGGAACACGAAGTGTTGATCCACGATGGATGGAAAAGCTGGAGAGAGACTTTTTACAAGGGCGTGTAGTGACAGGACAAGGTGAAATGGATTTAAACTGAAAGAGGGGAGATTTAGATTAGATCTAAGGAAGAAATTTTTCACTGTGAGGGTGGTGAGGCACTGGAACAGGTTGCCCAGAGAAGTTGTAGATGCCCCATCCCTGGAAGTGTTCAAGGCCAGGTTGGATGAGGCTTTGGGCAACCTGGTGTAGTGGAGGGTGTCCCTGCCCAGGGCAGGGGGGTTGGAACTGGATGATCTGTGAGGTCCCTTCCGACCCAAACCGTTCTGTGATTCTATGGTTGTAATTAAGCAGTGACTTTCCTGGGTGCTGCTGCTGGCTGGGAATGCAGCTCCTGCTGCGAGGGCCAACAGCCCGAACCCCCTTCTGCTTCACGTGCTGGTGGTAGCAGTCCCTCCACGGGAGGCCCTCTGCTCACCGTTCTGCAGCTCCTACAGCTAACTTTCTCATGTTGACTTGAAGTGAATGGATCTCTGTGTACGCTTGGTCTCCACGGTATTTTGGCAAAAATACTGTTTATTGGAAGTGCTTGTGTGCAGAGAAACCACTGAGGGTTAAGGTAGGCAGCAGCAATTCTCCATGAATGCTCTCTCTTCTTCAGATAGCGATGTTTGGCGGTGACGTAGTTCATCACAGAATACGCGACAGTTACTCGTTTGCTGTTAGTTCCGAGTCTGAAAACTTGGAGCCTGTGAGAATAACACTTTGCATAATTGCATCCACGTGTCTGGATAACCATCCAAAAAATCCCTCTGGGATGTTGGTCTGTTGGGAAGGGTTTGTGATAGAGATGAGACTGGATTATTGGTTGGCTTCTTTTTTTTTTTTTCTCCTTGTTTCTTTGAAGCATTAAATAGGGTCTGAAAAATGACACGGAGGGATTTCCTTGCCTTTTACTGCTTGCAGCATGTGAGCCCAGCTGTGATTCAAACAAGTGATTGTTTTTGTCTTTCAGTGGGCAAATCAAACTTGCAGATTTTGGACTCGCCCGACTCTACAGCTCGGAGGAGAGGTGAGGCATAGTGGGGTGGAGGAGGGAGGGAATGGCTTACCTAGGTGTGATGAGCTCCTTTCTTCTTAATGTCCACATAGTCCCTTCACTGGGAAGTCCTGGCATTGCCCGAGAAATGATTTCCAGTATGGTGTAACTGATGTAACACAGCTCCAGCTGTCAGAAAAAATTTTCTCCTGGCTGGCATGAATAGCTGTTCATTAGGCAAACCAGCTGATAAGGAACCAAAATATCTTCTCTGCTTGCCGT